AATTTATGTACAATTTCGGTTTTGATCTTTAACCGATCATTTTCATCAAGTAACTGTCTAAGCATGTCCTTGTGGTTTTTGGACTGAATATATGATTCAATTTTGTCAAGACTAATTTTATAAGCCTCTGAGGTTTCATCTGATGACAAGATAGATTTACATTGAAAACAATCAGCATCAATTTCATCTTCTTTTAATTCCAAAAGGGCAAGATCATTTTATGAATTTTCTTACCAATTTCACAATCCAAATGTAATTGAGTAATATTAAAGTAAAGCCTCTTAGCAATTAAAAAATGTTACGTTGTTTCAAAAGCTTTAAATTGTCTCTTTGTAAATAAATAGACTCATCTCCTAGACCTAGAAAGCTCAGACTCTATCTTCTCGATCCACATCCTTCGCTCCTCACTTTTTGATGACACCCTTCTAATTTGATCGTTTAAGTTAGCATTTGATAGGTGTGTTTGTTTTTATAACTTATACTTGAAAAGGTGAATTTTAAGTCGTTTAATTCAGCTTCATAATTAGATACAGGAACATTAAGAGATTCAAGAATGGAATGTACCTTATTAATCAGCTGATCACATTCGCTGATTTGTGCAAGAATTGGATTCGCAGCGAAGCAATTGTCATCTCTTTTTCCATTCGATTATTCTTTTCCTTCATCTGTAGCATACCCTCGCATTTGTGACATGCCATTTGTCACCACAAAGCATTTCCATCCGTATGTGAATCCCCTTCATTTACCACTAAGCTTTTTTCCATGAGTGGGTTTTCTAACTCCTTCATCCTCTGAATCAGTGGACCACACTTCCACTCCACCAAACTCATCTTCATCATTCTTTCCCTGCACAACCAAAGCAAGCATAGTGTTATCATCTTTTTTTTTTCTTGATTTCTTCAAGCTTGCGAAGATGGTACGCCTCATCATCCTCTCCATCCTTCTTTTCGTTCATTCTCCTCAACATGCATTCTTTTGCCAAATGGTTCTTATCGTGACAATAGTTACAATCATAGCCCGAATCAACTACAAGATTTTTCTCTTTCTTATCTTCTTCTTTCTGGAAGCTATTCACCTTATCCTCTTTCACTATGTCTGAAATGTAGCTTCCCTACCAATTTCGGTTTTTAGAGGGAAACTTTTTTTTTTTTTGCGAATCTCCTAGGATTTGACACCATTAGAGAGAACTCTTCAATTTGTGAGTTCATAGTTAGAAAGATTAGACTCAGATTCATCCTCAGTCACTTGCTTCCCCTTTGCAACTAGAGCCAACAAACGCATGCTAGACACAAATTTCGTTTCTTTAGTCACTTCACTTTCATGTGACTTCAAGATACCTACCAGCTTTGCCAATGTATAATTTCTTAATTGCTCGTGAGCTTTCACCGTAGAAACCAACGCCATCCATTCAGACCTCAATCCATTCATGAATGTCACCTTCTGCTTGATGATTTCTCTTCCAATCTCATGCTTCATCATCCCGCTCAGTAGATGATTGTAGCGATTAAACGTTTGACTCTAATTTTCATCAGCCTTTTGTGCGAAAGCACCAAATTCAGATAACAAGAGCGTTTGAGTAGAAGATTCCAGACCTGCGCCTATTGAATAAAGATCTTTAAGTCTATCCCATATAACTTTGGTAGTATCAAAGGAACTCACAAGGCGAAAGGTATCAGCTTGCACTACTAGAAAAAAGGCCTTTTACAACGCGCAAAACACGACGCTCTTTGATTTATGTTACGCATTAGAGAGCGACATTAAAAAAGTGTCATCTCTTCAAAAATTTTAAGGATTTAGGTCGCGCATTACTGAGTGCCCTTAAATTAGTGTCTCATGTAAAAATATTAAAAACACGGAGGGCACCTATAATAAAAAGGGCATCCTCTACAAATGTCGCTTTATAATTTTAATAAACGCGCGTTTCTGGGACTCAGGGGGAAACTAAATCCCCCAAAATTTTGAACACCCGCTTCCTCTTCCTCTCTACTCTCTACACCCGCCAAATCGACTTCATTCTCTCCCTTCTTTCTCTCTGCAAACCCCTTCTTCTCCGATCGACTTTCACTTCCTTCTATGTGCAAACCCTAATCAAACATAACACATTTGAAATAGTAATATCTTCTTTCATTTTCTCCCCTGCTACTCTCTGTAAAACCTAGCAGCCGCCACCACTAGAAACATGGAAAATCCCCCAAAATTTTGAAGTACCCCGCTCACTCCTCTTCACCTCTACCCTACTCCATCTACAATGACTCCCCACGTTTACAAACCCTAGTCTAGTTGCGCTTCTAGCCTTGGTCCTATTTCTTCATCCATTCAGCAAATTAGGGGAACACGACTTCTCATTCATCCCTCAACTTCATCTTCTCAATCAAGAAAAAAGGATTCTGGTTTTTTTCGTGCATCTCATCATCTTGGTGGCGATAAACTCTCTAAGGTTCGTTAATAGTAACCCATTCCCGATTTTTTCTCCCAAATATGGTAAAGTTGTTCGTTTAATTGAAGTTTCCTTTCTTCAACAAAAATTGTGTTTAACTACGGCCGACAACTACGATCTCCTATTTCTCCCCGGAATGGGAGGTGTTACTATGCTATGAAAAGGACGCTTCTACCATCTCCTATTTCTTCAACAAAAAAGTTTATGATGGCGGAGTCGACAACTACGGCCGCCACGACTACTACTGTGAGTATGTTTTTTCTGATTTTTCATTATATTGATTAAATTTCAGTTTAAAATTTGTGTTTAACTACTTGATGTTTGTCTTTAAAATGTTGAGAGTGATGAATCTGTTTGGTTTTATTTTTGAACAGAAGAACTTTATTTCTTCATCCCCTGTAGATCATCTCGAAAATCTCTACCCCTCTCTTAATGTTATTTTGTTGAACCTCAGTTTGATGTTTTATTTTATATTTTACAATGAATCGATGCTTAAAGTATGTGATTTTGGCATTTGTTTTCGATGGTTATAAATGTACAATTAAAGTAAATGGGTCAGAAAAAAGAGAGCATATATGCACTCCAAGTGATCGACAAAATGCTTGAAAGAGCAATCTTCTACATATGAAAACAATGTGTACCTGAATTAGATGCCAGATCTTGTTCATGGTAACTGAGTTACCACTAGAAGAATCCAGGCCAAGATTGTGATCATATGCATTCTTAAAAGCAGTAGCTGACTGAAAAATGGAACAAAATACACATTAATAAATAAATCGAGTAACAAAAGTATGATAAGTTGATGGACTTACTTTATATTCTAAACTACGTTTTCTTGCATCATTGAGTTTTCTCACAACCTGGACATATGTTGCAGCCTTTTTATCAACTATTGCCAAAAGCTCCATGTTAGAAGGACCAGATGAAATGTGAGGACTAGAAAATAGAGATAATATTGGCCCTGATCGGTTAGCCCCAATGCTTGAATCAGTTACATTGGTCCTTGCTAAACTGGAGATGCGGCTCAAGCTGTGAAGAAAGTCCCTTTTTTCCTTTTGCCAGTCATCCTGACAGATAGAAAAAAAATAGGTAATTTAGTATTAAACAGGCGGTAAAAGGGTAATTTAGTAGATATCAGAATACAGAATTGAAGTGTAACTTTGACTTTGTGTAGAAACTAACCTCTAACACTGTCATCATGTAGTCACTAAAGTTTCTGAGATTATCTTTCTGGGCTTCCTGAACAGCAGAAACCATTGCCATTTCACGAACCTGAGATTATGAAAATGTAACATAAAGAGCATGAATGTATAACCATGTGAGCCTCCTGCAAATGGGCTAGGTTAGAGTCCTTTTTTCTATTAAAAATGATTGAACATTTAATCTTTTTTATTTTATTTATATATTTTGGTATTTAGGGCCTCCAAATGGGGAAAGCAACTTTGAAGAAGTAGTGGAGTTTGATCCAATTAAGCATCATAATTTCTTCTGTCCTTGGGTTAATGGAAATGTTGTTGCAGCAGGGGTTGAGGTGTTGCTGCAGCTTCTTTCTTACCCTTCTTGAAGTTTGTCTTCAATAGCCGTGCATCCAATTAAAGTAAGATCATTTTCTATTAATTATGCCACCTGTTTTTTTTTTTTTTTTTGGAGTTTCACATGTTTTTAAATATAAATATAAATATTTTTTTGTTTGTAAATTTTGAAGGAGTTTCACATGTTTTTTTTGGGGTTAGTTCAATGCTTTGTTTTATGACCTAATTTAAAAAGCTTAACCGAACCGAAGCTTATCTGATTATTTATTTAGAGGTTTTCTCAGTCTCCATTACACTCCAATAATTTGTATTCTTAGATATAAAGTTCTCGAACTTTTTTGTTATAATATATTGCGAAATTCAACAAATATCTTCCTCATGCTTTCATGGACTTTGACTTCAAGAAGACACCATTTCTTTCATTGCTATTTTTATTGCTTTATGCAACCAAAAAAACATAAAACCTGAAAAATAAATCCAAAAAAATGACCTCTAATCTGTTAATCTTTATCATGCAACAGTGCTTCGGTGGATTTTCTACCTGAACCACAGACATGGGAGGGTTCTGTTGCATGCATTAGCGAAACCACTGCTTCAGCTGCTAGACAATTAGGCTTAACAAGTGTATATCGCCCATCTACCCCTGGTCTTCACGGGTAATATATATATATATATATATATATATATATATATATATATATATATATATATATTTATTTATATTTATTATTTTATAGTATTAATATAAAATTGGCTATGGAAATTTTACATATACATGAACATAGACAAATTTTGCAATTATTCAAATAACTGTAACCTGATTTTTATTTCACCACAGGTTGGCGAGCTAGCGGGAATAGCTGTGGGGGCAACTGTCATGCTTAATATTCTTATAGATGGGTACGTATAAATTGAACCTTCTTAATATTCTGATAACTGGGTATGTTGATAGAAGTTTTTTTTTTTTTTTTAAAAAAAAAAAAAGGGGTAACCTCTTTGTTCACATTTTTCCCTTTGTTGAAATGATATAGGCCACTGACAGGAGCATCAATGAACTCAGCAAGAACCTTGGGACCAGCAATAGCTGCAAATAACTACAAAGGCATATGGATCTACCTTACAGCTCCCATCCTTGGCGCACTAGCTGGTGCAGGTATTTACACAGCAGTGAAACTGCCTGAGGAAGATGATGTATAGCATTTATGTGACCATAATGCCCTGAGGAAGTTTTCTAAGATGTTTTAACCTCTCAAATGTGTATGAATCTGCTGACCGGTTATGATGGTTCCAAGTTATGGTGGTGATATCATAGAGAAGTGGGGAAATAGATGATTCTTTCATTGCTGACCTGGTGGTTGGTCTTGCCTCTTGTCAAATCAAAGCAGGCTCTCCTTCTCGTGGAGAGCGCTTAGCCAAGTACAATCAGGTAAAAACTGAACAAAACTTAAATTTGTTTACCAATTAATGAAAATCTAGACATTTCTTGAGATAAAAAAATGAATGCAACAGATAGCAATGTGCTTTCTTTGAAAAATATATACCATTTATAACATATTTTATCCAAATAGAAAGGATATGTAGAAGATTTTTAAATTATAATGTCGTAATAAGAAAAGCAAATGGAAAGCAAAATTTTATTCTTTATTAAGTTTAATGCCCGTGTCCAAGAGTGATCATATTTGATTAACAAACTTCTGACGGGAGTGTGAAGGTGGCAGTTGAGCTATAATCACGACCAGGCTCGAGTTGTGGTTGTCGATCGATTTCAGGTGATGTACTTCAGATACTTTTCCTACATATGGACCCAATATTATCCCTCCCCGGACTTAAAATGCTTTCAGTTAAGTTTCTAATTATCTACACATATAATCAGCATAAAGAATCTCTTATATTTTATGTAAGTTTAATTAAAATAAATAGTCCCTTGTTTTTTTTTCAGGATACCAGGAGAGATTCTACTTCAATCTAGGTGACACTGGCTTCAAGGTCCGTTTTTTATACAATCATACCCATGTTTCATATTAAATTGGCACTTTGACTTTTCAATGTAAGGGTAAGATAGTCATTTAGTCTTTTGATAATTTATATTTTATTGTGCAGGTGTTCCAAACCAAGTTTGCTAAGATAAGCATGGGTACGAATTTCTCAATCCTTTTACCTAATTGCTCTCCTCCCAACACGTTAAAATTAATGAATGTTTTGATTTTTTTTGGCACTAACACTTGGATGATGCTTACTTTGACTTGCTGTTGGAGAGGGTAGTGGAGTGGGCTTGCTGAGTGCTGATTGTGTGTTTGATGGATGAATTGGTCCTGATTTGTGGCTGGATACTAAAGGTGATGAATGCCACAAATTATTCTCATTATTGTTTTTTTTTTATGTTAGTTTTGCGAGAACATATGTATTTAGCTTTCAAGGAGATGACTGCCTCATCTGTCGTGGGTCACGCTCCATATTACTGCTTGCAGCAGAAGCAGAAAACGGTGCTGATTTGTTTCTTTCTACTTAGTATTTCTTACTGGTTGTGAACAAGCCTCTCATCTCACATTTGAGTTTATAGGAATCAACAATCACTATGAAACTTCTAGTGTTTAGATTTCTTACTGGTTGTGAACATTTGTTTCTTCCCTTTCTACCCTTCACTTGCAGGTTGATGATTTGTCAAGAATGTTCAGACTATTTTCCAAAAATACCCCATGGATTGGATCCTGTCTCTAGTATGTTTAAAAAGGTTTGTGATTTAGAAGCTTTGGAGGAAACGAGACTCAAGCAAAAGTAAACACATAGAGAGTTGTTGGCACATAGTAAGCTAGATAATGCAATTGTATATAAATGAGTTCATTTTATTATAACATTTACTCACTATTGGAATAATTATTTGTATTTGACATATTAGTGAAATGAATTATCTTTGTTATTTATGGTATTTTATTTTGTATTATGAGATTTTTAATGTATTATTTAATTTGAAAATTAGTAAATCTATAAATAATATTTTTTTTAAACATTTAAGATTATGATACGCAAAAATGTGTGTCATCTTCATTTATGACATGGCCTTTCTTGACAGGGGCTTTCTTGATACGCATTGCGTGTCATTAACACGCGCGTCGTAAGGTTATGACACGCGAATGCGTGTCGTCTTCCTTTATGACAGGGTCTTCCTTGATACGCATTGCGCGTCGTAAATGCATGGCGTAAATGAGCGTCGTAAATGTGCGTCGTCTATAGACGACGCGCAAAAGCGCGTCATCTCTCTTTATGACAGGGCCTTCCTTGACGCGCATTTGTGCGTCGTCTGAGCCTTTTACGAAGCGCAATGAGCTTCGTAAAAGGCTGTTTTTCTAGTAGTGTTGCAATGCAAATATGATGATTCTTATTCTGTTGATGTTACTCTGCAGCTTGTCTCACTCATCTTGAGGAACTTCTTTGACATCAAGAAGAAGTCGATTGAGATCCATCTGAGTTTTAATCACCCTTCTTGTTCCAGAATGGACAAAGGCTCCAATAGTCCTAGCTTTCCAGATCAAGTAACCATTATCTTCCAAACCTAGAAGATAATCTTCAAAGTGAAGTGCCTTGACTTCATAATTGCTGTGAAAGAGAATGGGCATCCTTGTTGTTGACCCAATGCTACTGATCAAATTGATTTGAGAATCGCCGCGCCTTCGAAACCTGTTTCTGAATCAGACGTGTAAAAACTTAGGGTAATATTGAGATCCTAATAACAACATCAAGAACACAGAGATGACGACGGAAAAAGATCTAATATTAGTGGAAACCTTAATAGCTTCTTTTAACAGAAGAGATGCATATAAATTACACAGTCTCCTGCTCTGATACCAATTGTAAAGAATAAAATTTAAAAGATCAATAAAATTCAAACAGGTAAATCAAGAACACATGAATAATCAAACAAATGTTGAATGATTAAAAGTCACACCTTAGTAGAACTCGATAAAGAATTTCCACTGTAGAGGCATGCTAGGGTTTACACAGTTTTCAAAGATAAAAACGTTAATGTCCACAGTGCATGCATGCACTATAAATAATTAAACGCCAATAAATGAGACTAGTGGATAGGCCCAATACCGTATATAACATGGACTAACTATTATAAGCCCAATAACGCAACATCTAACACCCAACAAGACCGAAGTTTGGAATACATATCATAACAACAAACACATAACACATAAGCATATAACATATAAACATAATAGACTTACTCGGGCTTGCCCCGACATCGGACCGAAGTCCGGTACACATAACATATAAGCTAATTCTTCATCGCGCTCGCCCCAGAATACATAACACATAACATGCATGAATCACAAAGACATCAAGCATATATACACTTCTCGGGACTGCCCCAACATCAGACTGAAGTCCAGAACATATAAGCTGCATCGAGCTAACCCCGGCATCGGGCCTAAGCCCGACGTATACTAACATACACAAACGGGCCAACATTGGTTCCTTCAACCCATTCCTACTAGAGGAAAACTCACCTCGTAAGGCTGACTACTGAAAATCGAGTGTAGAATCTCTGACTACTGCTCCGACGACTCCCCGACTATCAACTACATAATACACTTAATCAAAATATGATAATCCTTGACCATTTTACTCATGGTCAAATTCAACATCCACGTCAAATTCAAAGTCAAAGTCAATCAACTCTCATTCAACCCCAACTCATCGAGTTATCTCCCAAATCGTCGAGTTCATGCATTACTTAGCCTCAGAGTCAACTAAATCAACTTATCGAGTCCCTTCCCAGACTCATCGGGATCTTCTTTTCACAACATCGGGACATATCGACTCTAACTCGTTGAGTCCCTCCTTGGACTCGTTGAGTTCTTCAGCTTCTGAGTCCTAATCTTGTCTAACTAACTAAGTCATCTCCTAAACTCAATGGTTTCACTCACAACCAGAAAAGGGGTTAGGGTTCATTACCCAACCCACCAAGTCCAAGAAAAACTCGTTGAGTCCTCCATGTGACATATCTATTTAGTCGATTCTAATCCATTCCAATACTTCTAACTCATAGATATGGACTCCTTAGACTAGCATTACACGTAAAGTTGCTAACTTTATGTGCATGGATGGTGCTATGAAGCTAAAACACCCAATACAAGCCAAAATGAACGTCTAAGTCATAAAATGGAGTCGTGGTTGATTAAAGGTGGCAACTTTGAGCTTCTAAAGCTCAAGAGTGTCTAGATCTAAAGTTCTTTCATCTCCAAGAGTTCAAATCTCGGAATGACCTTGGAAATGGCCCAAAAATGACAACATACTATTGGATTAGTGTCTAAGTCCATAACTATTTTGGTATGTACTTGACCCGATGGTGCATGGTCCTTTTGGGTTGCCTTCACCAAAGCAACTTGATTGGAGAAATGAATAAAGAGAAAGAGGATAATATGATTTATTAATATGTTATAAGAATAATATATTAAAGGAGAAATCATATTTGTTTAATTATTATTGGTCAATAATTAATTAAGAAATAATTTTGTGATCAAGTGTAATTAATTAAACTAGAGGGGCTGAATTGTAATTATGTGATAGTTACAATATAAGGTAAGGATTATCTTATATAGATGGTGAACGAATTAGAGGTGTAAATCCCTTAGAATTCGAGTATGATAAGGATTCAAGGATTATCTTATTGGTTGCTTAATGGATAATCAACTAGATAAGGATAATGACTGAAACCCTATCTCTACACCTATAAAAACACCCCTAGGGTCATGAATTCGTAAATCCCTTCCCAAGAGGTCCTAGATACGAATTTTAACCTCTCACCTCTCTCTTTATACCTTCTCCACTTGCTTATGGTGTTTGTAAGCCATTAGAGGAGTGACACTTGTGACTCTAGGCATTCCAAAGCTAATTCAAGGAGGAATTGGGATTGTTATTGCTACATAACAATCAAGGTATGTTCTTAAACCTAATTACATATTAATATGATTACTTGAATGCTAGAATTAGGGTTTATAGTCTTGGATTCAAAGCATGTACAATAGAGAAACCTAGATCCAAGCATTAGGGTTTGTATGAGCACATAGGATGTCTTATGACCAAAACCCATCAGTGGTATCAGAGCCTAGCTTGGTTTCAATTGTATTGATGCATTGTATAACTGGAAAATCGTTTTTTGGGCTTTATGGATGAGGAACTCGGCGAGTACCACAGTGTACTCGGCGAGTAGACCTCAACTCGGCGAGTACAGTGTGGTACTCGGCGAGTTCGAGCGTCAGATAATGCTCATCTCGAGATTTCTTGCTGTTTTTGCATTTGGATAGTTACCTTATCATGTTAGATCAATATAAATCCGATTTTATGATATATATGACTATATTCTTGATCTAATTAAAGATAATTATCAATTAATAAGATAATTGTTTCCTTATAAGATAATTGATTAATTATTTTGAGTAAATTGATAAATTGTTTTGCAAGAAATCATTAAACAAATCAAATATGGATAATTATGTGATTAAATGTTAATTTAAAATCATTTGTTATTTGATCCTTGTTGTTATGAAAGGTTTCATATTTTCCCCTTTAGGTTTTATAGTTTAAATTTGAACCCAAAAGTTTTGGAGTTTTAAATTTAAATAGTTAAACCCTAATGTTTTGAAAAAGGTTTCAAACTTGCCCTCAAGTTTTGGAATTTAAAAGTTGATTAAAGTTTAATTAGAAATGTTAAATTCTAAAACCCTAGTAATGTTTTGAAAAGTTCAAATCACACCCTTATGGTTTTATTAATTAATTAAGGAGTATAGTTAAAAGAGGTTTAATAAATCCATAAAAGTTTAGGTTAACCTTTTAATTGGATTAAAAGTGTAATTGTTAAAGTTAACCATATAGTATTTTAAAAGTATAAAATACACCCTATACTAAAAGTCTAACATTATATATATGTATGAGTAAAAGTCAGTCTTACCGTTAGTAGGCCTCATTCACGAAGCTGGTCTATAAGGGTGTGTTTAAGGAAATTGCCTATAAAATGGCGATTGAATGGGTATCCACTCTTACCCACCGCACTCTTGACTAGTGGAGGGTCGTTAGCCGAACGGGTAGGATAGACGAAAACCTTCCATTATAAGTATAATGAAATACAAAGTAACTAAATGTTTTTCAAATTCCCAATCTTAGTTACTTAGGCAAAAGTGAATTGATGCAATTCCATGAAATTACACTTTGTGCCCTTGCGAAGATGTTAGTGGAGCGTGTGTGGTTTACCGGCACACTAAATGGTTCTAAGCAAAGGTAGCAAAGGGTGACTCAATGTTTGTCATAGTTCGGTGGAGCGTGTGTGGTTTACCGGCACATCGAATAGGTGATTGTAACATGTGAGGGCACCATGTAGTTTGCATGGTTATTCACACCCGCTTTGTGATCCTCGGCATCCCAGTCACAAACAAGAGGGGCATATCGAGATTTAAACATGCCATTGAAATGTTCAATGAATCTCAAAGGATCTAGGAGTTTTCATAG